GGAGGAGAGCTGCCAGAGCATGCTCTGCCTCACCTCCACAGAGCTCCTTTATGGTCACATCTGCAGGCAGCTGTGGAGGCACGACCGGAGGCTCCCTGGGTGCTCGTAGTCAACTTGGTTTCCAGTTTTGCTCACTGAAATCCCTTCAAACAGAGGCAGAGCTGAAGGAGGTGTGTCCAAGCAGCGGTTCTTGCTGCCATCCACATCCCTACAAAAGGATTTGAAAGTCTGAGGTACCCAGTGCTCACATATCTCTGGCTCACAGCTGGGATGGGACACAGGCACCTTGCCAGAAGCCTGTATTTGCAGGCAACAGGGGGTTTTGCAGCCCCTCTTGCCATGGCTGTCATGATCCTGCTGGACACTGGGGTCAAATGCCACCTGGGCTCCCCAGATCACAGACCTACACAGGTCATTTGAGGGTGTCTGAGCTCAGACAGTGGCAGAGGATGTCTGGGGGTTGTTAGCAGCAAGTTTCAGAGTCTCTCTACTCCCTTGCACCAAATAAATAAATAAATAAAACTCACAGGGGTATAATGCACCACAGCACTTTAATACTGCTGGGGATAAAGTGGATTACAATGCTATTTGGCTGGCCACTTCGTGCAGAGAGAAGCTGTTATAACAGGATTCAAATCCCTTCCCTAACTCAAAGCAGATTTGCTTGTTGCTTTAAAAAGTAGCTAGAAGACAGCTTGGCCCCATAAACCATGCTACAACCCTTTCTGAATATAAGGTTGAACTATCTATGCCCTCCTTTAAATATGCTGCTTTTTGTCATTCAAGGAGTTCCTCGAAGTCCTACAAAGATGGAGACAGGTTTTTTTACAAGAACATTGTAAACACACATTTTCGCTCTTTACAAGAACAATTTTCACACTCCCCAAAGAGTTAAAGTTGCATGCAAAAAGCTAGTAACTCCTTGAATGAAGAAGGTCTGTTTTACCCAGCACCTCGCTAGGCTGTGATTGCACACATCTATTACCAGGGGAGAAATGCAGAGGAATTCACTGAGCCTCATCTCTGCAGAGCCAGCAAACCCTGCTCATTTCTTCCACGCACATGGAGCACATTAAAACTTTCCCCACATGCTGGACCCTGCAGCGAGCAGCATAAGCAGTGCTCCTTTAATTAATACGGCCTTGGAGGCAGCAGCCACTTGGCTGGGGAACTCAGTTGCCTGGCTGTGCCTCTCCAAGGGGAGACATCAGGGTGACCATATGCTTAAAGGAAAGCAGGTTACAAGGTAATGCATACAATACAACTGAGAACAAAGGTGACCTATAGAAGTGAATATATGGGTTTCTCTCCTTGGCAAGTAAATTTTGATCCCAGAGTAACACCGCATCATAAGGTGCTACTGCCATGCCTGGGAAAGCTTGTGGGAAGACAAAGAGAGAAAAGCATCAAGAAGGACAAAAAGACTCAAAAGCAACCTCCCCACCCTATTCACACCCCTGCCGAACAGGCAAAATGGAGGGGCATGGTTGCAAAATTGTCTTTCCTCGTTTAGAGCTGCCTGTGTCAGCCTGTCGTGCACAGGGAAATAGCAGCAGATCAATAGAGATGTCTGCACTGATACTCTTATTGTCTTCTCCTTTAAGATACACTGAGTCACTCACCAGCCTTCCCAGTTAATGAGCCTTTCAGTGGGAAGAAAGACAAAGGTTTCTTTAGAAACATGTGCTTCTCTGCCATCCTCGGGACCTCTCCTAAAGGAAGAGGTAAGTGATGGGCTCTGGTCACAGTCAGAGATCTGGGCTGTGATTGCCATGACCGCATGCTGACATAACTTTTCTGGAGGGCCCCCTTGGTCTAACAATGTGTCTGTGACAGCAGAAGATGGTGCAACTTTTCCCTGGAGGGTACCAGGTCTCCCCTGCCCTCTGCTGCTCACTAAGTGCTCTACATGATGCCAAATCTCTGACACATAGACATGATCACCAACCAAGGGTCCTCAGGGTGGGCTGGATCTCATTACCATCTCTGAGCACTCCCCTGGATGGAAGGACTGAGAATGGAGGTCCTGCTGCAATTTGACTTTAATGGAGTTATGTGCGTTGGCACTGATTGAGAACCTGACCTATGTGAGGGATGTCAATGTGCATAATCACACCAGAATATGATGCCTGCCATTTATCATTTGCACCAGTCAGCGAGGAGCCCCCTCGCCTGGGTGCTGTGGAGATACAGAATAAAATAATCCCCTTGCAAAGAATTTACCGTTTTGAACTAAGCACAAACATTTAAACCTAGAAGGGAAAGAAATGTCATTGCTCCTAGCCCTTGTTTCCTAGCAGGCTTGTATTCATCAGCCGTGAACCTTAATACGGTTTTCACTCCAATTGTCAATTGTTAAGATAGATCTGGGGGACGTCAACAAAATGTTACAGTTGAAATGACCCAGCTAGAAATAATAGACTATGAAACATCAAAGTAGCCATAATACTGTAAATCACCACAGAGGAGTATGCTTGGCCCTTTTATTTTTAATGGTCACTCAGGTGTCATTTGGCATACAGGACAGTCTGGGGGGGATTTCCCTGTTCCAGCTTCAGAAGTTTCTGCACCAGGTTGCTGGAGAGAGCAACCACAACCTCCTTGGGCATCCCCTGGAGAGAAAGGGGCACCCTGAGAACCAAGTTCACCTGGCTTGTCTCTGACACCAGTTTTTGGACATGGTGCCTTGCTGGCTGAAGGTGACCACCTCTCCACCACCAGGCACAAGCAGGTGGGGTGAGGTGTTTTGCTCAGAGATGACTGGTGTTGGCCCAAAGGCTTCTACAGCTGGTGCAGGCAATGGGTGTCAGTAGTGCTGTGTTGGGCACAAAGGGGTCTGACCCACACTCTCTTCTGGGTGTTGGCACAGAGTGATGGTATGTTCCTTACAGAGCTGGTGGGAAACCAACCTGAACATCCTGGGAGCAGATCAGTGCTAAAGCCCTCTCTGTATTTACCCGGCTGGATGTGATCTGGGTAACTTAGGAGCACCTTCAAAGCATATTTCACTTTACAGTCAGAGGTTTTTTTCAGAGCAGAGAGGTTTCTTGTCAGCTTGTCCATCTGCCTGGTGTCTCAACAGGCCCGTGTGGGGAAACACATGCCATGGGTTTCCCACTGCAGTCCTATCAGGGGAGAAATTCCCACCCAGGTCAAGACAGTTATCACTGGGGCTTCACTGATACGTCAGATTTTTTCCTAGAGGCTCCTGTTTGCTTCCAAGAGAGTTTTGCATCCTGTGTCTGCTTTCAAGAGCTGCCAAGAGTACCAAGATTGTTTATCTCTCTACCATGCTTTGAGTCTGACCAGTGAAGAGCTTGGCCATGGGGGGATTTTAATAAACTGAAGTGCCCAGTGTGTTTAACAGAGAGGAACAGAAGCATCAACTTTTTTTTTATATGTTCGAAGGTAAAATGCTGCAGCTCCTACAACAGCAGATTTGCAACTCAAGAGGACCTGAACTGATAAATTCAGCTCTAGTCGTAGATACCAGTGCAGCAGTCAGTGGACACCCCTCTGTGTGCTTATGGGACCTCATCAGACAGTGCCACTGGCATTGAAATTGTGTTTTTTTTTTTTTTTTTTTTTTTTTTTTTTTTTTTAAACAAAATTATAGCTAAAAGTAGCAGGAGACAGTCACATAAAAGGGGTCGAGCACAGAAGCATTCATTTACAAAATCTCCCCATGCACTTAAGAACGTGGCTATTTCTTGTCTCCATTTGGATGGCCAGATCCTGTCAGATAATGACAGGGCTGCGGGTTTTTTAAACAGCTTGTGTCTGCAGAGGAGCACGATGCTGGGAGAGGCGAGCCCGCACCCGAGTAGTCCATCCCCTGGGAGTGCCTGCCCCGGCCGGGGGTGCGGGCTGGGCTGAGCACAGCCTTGTGCAGAAATCCTCACGGAGCTGGTGCCTTGTTGGAAACAACCTTTCCCTGCCAGAGTACAGCCTGAGACTGAAAATATAACTCTGGGAAATCTGCCTTTGTGGGGAGGGGGATGCTGCTCTGCAGAGGGATTTATCCCATCAGGGGACCTTCCGGGGACCTGCAGCTCCGCAAAAATGTTCTTTGCAACCCCTCTGAGTTTCTCACAGGGACCTCAGCAGAGCCAAAGATAAGTCATCTCGAATTAAATTAATTTCTGAGTTTGTGTGGGGCTAGCTGAGCGGCAAGTCAGATACGCAAGGACTTACTGCAAAAAAGGAATCACTTTTATAAAGTTGGTCATTCACTACCATTGTAAAGTAACTAAAGCCTCCCAAACAGCTTTATGCCCCTGCTGCTCCTTTACGTACAACCATCAGGGCTCTGACACAGACAGAAATGTTGACACTTTGTCTATGAAAATCCAGAATTGTGTGAGTAAGAGAAATGTTTTATGGGGACTATAAATAGTTTTGCATTAAGGCAAATGTATTCTCCCGCCTAAAATAGATTCACCTTGCAAACAGCTTAAGGACAGTTTCAGTGCCAGAGAAACGCCTTCAGAGTCCCCTCAGGAGACAAAACTAGCCTTTCCCCCCCAAAAAAAAAGCAAACAAGACCAGCAGTCAGAGACCCCTTTGCTGCCACCCCCCCTCCTCCCTGCTCCCCACTGCTTGACAGCATCCTGTGCTTGGGTGTCAGCCTGGGAGACCACCCAGCATCCTTCCACTAAAAAGGGTCATAAATTTATTCAACTAACTTTTTCAGTCATTTTTTCCAGATGCTTGCAACACGCGTGCTTATTACACAGGTGAAAAGGATGAGGAAACTTTGGGGAGGGGGAGCAGCAACTTCCCGCAATCGCTTGGAGCAGTGCTTGCTTCCCCTTCGCTCCAAGGGGAATCATGCAGGCAGACAATGCAAACATCCTCTCTGCCAGGGCTGCAATGTGTTAACAGCACTCTCCCCTTGCTGCCAGAGCATCATTTCATTCCCTGCGGAGAAATGCCGGTGGTGGCTGTGGGGGAAGACGAGAAGATGTCAGAAGAGAAAAAAAAAAAAATTTTTAACTCACCTTTAAGCTGTGCGTTGGGTTGACGACGCAGACAAGTTGCCCGGCAGCCGAGAAAACCCTCTTTGCCTTGTAGTGCTGAAACCGCAGGTGAATAAGATCTAACACAGCCCCAAAGCACTGGGTGAAGAAAAGCATCACAACTTTTGGCGTTGCTGCTGCCGCTGCTGCTGCTGCTGCTGGTGGTGGTGGTGGGCAGGGGAAGCAGCGAGGGAGCCCCTGAGTCCTTGAGCCCGGGGAGGGAGTGCAGTCGGCGAGCGCTACGCTCCGGCACGGCTTAGCATGCCTTCATATTCATCATCAAAATAAGACGGGAAGAGGCTTGCAGCAGCGGGGCGGCCAATGGAAAGGACAGAAATGTTATCCTTGAGGTCCGGAGACAGCCAATAACGAATGCCTCCCCTCCAGAAACTCCCTGATGAATTGAGCCTGGTGGAGAATGTATTATTGAACATTACCATACATCAGCACATTGCATTTATCTTGTGATTACAGCCAGTCATACGTAAGGCTGTGGAGATATGCAGGCAAAATTGATTGCTTAATGTCTCCATTTATTAATTACCTTAATTTAATAAAAGAGCGCTTGAACACCAAAGCTAAATGTAAGACGTAGGGAAGAAGCCCACCAGTGAAACTGTTAGAAAGTAGCAAAAATAGATTGAGTATGTATGACTGAGGGAGAGAAATCAAATATGCAAAGAGAGTTACAGTTCCTTGCAGGGGTTAAGCAGAAGTAGAGCTCGCTATATAAATAGATTCACGTCTGTGCATTTGCAGGCTTCAATTTGGATTTTAACCACTCTGAAGTTTTCTGAATTTTATATTCTGCTACTTCACAAGGGTCCCAGCACACAAATAATATTTCCCTCACTACTAAAAATAGGAGAGGTCAGGTCTCAGGTTTGGTGTAACTTGGCATAACTCCATTTAAAGTCAGCGATGTTTTCCTGATTTACACTTGCTGGTGGATCAGGTCCATTGGACACAAAACATGGCAATTACTGGATGCTGGAACTATGAGAGCATAAAAAGGCACAGAACGTGCTTCTAAAAATAATGAAATACATGATGCATGAGAGCACACAGAGAGAAACTTGCACTGAGGGAAAAGTGGCTTCTAAATCAACAGAATAATTAAACATGCAGAAAGCTTTGGCTTGTCATTCATCTGCATATCAGTGGACAGGAAATTACGAATTAGCCATTAGATCGTCCTAGGCATTAGAAAGGAATTAGGGAAGTGCAAGGAAAATAACATGCTTTTGCATATTATTACCAGTGCGTATCTCTGTTGGTGGGCAGGGATCCTTTTCGAGCCATTGAGTCTCATTAAACATGAGTCCCCATAACTGGGTTTTCCAGGAGGTGACTACACCAAAGCAGCCGAGGGAATCAGAAAGCACATTCATTTCACGGGACAATCCTGTGTGATATGTTGCTGTGCTTGTTAATAAATCAAAGAGAGTTAATTTAATTAGCTCTCTGCCAGAACTTACTATCAGGGTTCTATTTAGGCTTGCTAGCTAAATACTCACGTGGCTTATTTAGCCTTGGTAATCCTTTTTCCCTTCAAAGCAGAACAGATAAAAGTAGCTTTTCTTTCCTTTTTTTGCTTCTTTTTAAATGTGAGCCCTGTGCTGGGGGTGGGGCTGCTGCTCTGGATAGAGCAGCCCCCGTGGAGCACAGACTTCAGCCTGGGACTGGATTGTCACAACTGCCTCTTCCTAAATCAATACTGCAATACTGGCTCTGCCAGACTGCAGAGAGCTTGTGCGTAAAAAAAAAAAAAAAAAAAAAAAAAAAAAAAAGGAGGCCTAGGTAGATAAATAAGTGGGAAATTGTGAATGCTGGAACAGCTGACAACACAACACCCCCCCACCAAGCATTGAAGACAGGAGGAATATGTATCTCCCAGTTCTTAACATTTGCTTGTAAATGAGGAGATAATTTTTGCAGTGCTGAGAGACACTTTGAGAATATTTTCAGACAGACTTGAGGGCGAGTGAATTGATTTGCTTAAATGTATCCTTTTCTCCATTCCCAAGTAACTGTGAGCATCCAGTTATTTATTATTTATTTCTTCCTGATTTGTAGTTGGTAGCTGAACACTATACCGGCAAATTTCAGTCTGTGAGTTATTGGTACAAGTATTGTGCCATCAAAGCCTTAAACAAGCAAAAGGTCCTTCCTATTTTTTTTTTTTTTTTGTTATTGCTACCTAAATCCCCTGGGGTTATTTCTGTTTGACTCAACTGAATGCCTAGGCTTGTGGGGCACGACCAGATCCATGGGCAACAGAGAAGGCACCCCTCATCCCTGCTGTCCAGCCAGCCTCGGGGCTCTTGCAGTGCCATGGTCCAGCCCCCTTGAGACCCAGATGCCTTCCTAAGGTGGGCGGGAGAGGTGTCTCTGATCCCACAGGCATACAGGGACATCTTCCACCTAAATATACATGCTAGCCACTAGGCTGGTATACAAAAAGTGTTGTCCTTCTTACAAAGAAAAGACCACTTTCAAGGGTGGGTCAGGGACCTTTGCAGTGCCCAAATCCCCGTATGCATCTGTTCCCATCTCATTTTCTATACATGACCTTCTGAGGAGCATCTCCCCACCAGCAATATTTGTGGAAAAGGATGAATGAGTGCTCAGTGCATCTGAACATAACTCTTGCTCAGTGCATGAGTTCATGTTCACAGCAACACTTTTGGAAAATGCTTTATTGGTCATATTGTTCATGTCCCAAGACCCAAATGCAGCACTCACTACGTTTCAACACATGACTTGTAAAGCACCAGCTTGGTAAGGGACCCTACATTGGCTGAACAGTGGCAGCTAGCTGTGCACGCACCTTCGCTTACAAGCAAAAACTCAGCAGTGTGGTCTGGTGTGCGTGTGTGGATCCAGGTCTTTCTTCTGCTTTTGCACACTGGAGCACTGACGAGTGTAACTCCATTAATTAGAGTTTGTCATGGTCTCATCCAGGCTTGGAGATGCAAGGTCTGCTGCCCTACCTGTTCCCAAATCATGGAGAAAGGTCCTTGAAGGCATTATTTAGCTGTATGGATGTAGCCAGAGAGAGGAGGAACAAGTCCACATGCAAGTGGAAGGGGCACTTGATGAATCCCGTTTAACTGTTGGTTGCAAATTTCTGATGACTGTAGATGTTATTTCCAAGATAGTTAATTCTGTAACATGCAAATATGATGTGGCAAAAGGCCATAGGCTAAATCTTCATTAAGATCCAGGTTTTGCCAAATTAGCAGCTCTAGTGACATCACCATAATACGCATGGGATTATAATTCTCTAACAGCTCAGCTGGTGGTGCAGCTGCGTCAGGTTAGCACAGTAATAGGATCAGCTAGACATAAAAACTGACAGCAGCAGTGCTAGCTTTCCAGTTTGCCCACTTTGCTTTCAGTCCAAGCTGCCGAGGTGAAAGGGGAACACTCGTGGGAAGACATGGGTGTCCAGGCACAGTGTGACAGCAGGACAACAGCCTGGGAGATGCATCACTCAGTCCAAACCCAACATTAAATTGCAGGGCTTAGGTTTCAATTGGATTTCTTTATCTTTCTGACTGGGCACTTTTGGGGGTGACCTTCCTACATGCTGCTCTAATTTCCTGCCCCACCAGACACCACAGTGAGTCCAAGTCCCTTCTTCTCATCCCTGCTTGTATAAACCTGGGTGAGTGCCTCTGACATCCGTGGGATGACTCCTATGCAGATGGCACCAGGCTGCCCTCCATTACTGACAGCTGTAGGGAAACCTAATCTGCCTCAAACAACATTGACACTAGCCTTTGTTCCAGGGATAGGAGAGGCAGATGTTGTCCAGGGCATCATTAGTATCCATTCAGACAGCTTACCAGCCTGCTTGCATGGCCCCGTTGCTGACTGCTCGTAGGATTTCTGATAGTGCTGGCTAATGTGGGATGTACTCTGCTGCCTATATTTCCCTGTGTCCTGGGTCAGGGAAAGACCTCTTTTACCCCTCAGCCCTGCCTTCTAGGGATGCTAATTGGCTATTTAAACAGGTCCCTGCCACCTTCTAGCCAAGGTGCAAGTCCACATTCTGCCTGGCTAGGGGCTGGAAGAGCAGTATCTGTGTCAACGAGGTACCTCTCCTGTGAGACACTACATCTGAGTGCATCCGCTCAGCTCCTTTTGTAGTCTTGAGGAGGAATGGGATGTGCTGAGGATGTATTTCCCCTGAGCTGGCTGGGACATCAGGCAGTTTTCTACATCTTCTGAATACAAACTTCATGTATGAAGCTTCATCTGCTTTCCTGGGTCTCACAGCAGGTTTTGAGGAGAGGTGTTTGTACTGTTAGTTATAATTTTCCTCTGTTGTTCACCAGACCTCTAAACCAAGAACGTAAGAAATGTCTCACTAGCTCAGTGCAGTGATACCTCCAGCCCAACACCCTGTCCCCAGCAGTGAGTATATGAGATGACGTTTCAAGTTGGCTCATAAGCAGGGGCCACCACCTACTGTCCATTCTCCTGGTATTCCTTCAGCTCCTACAACTGTTGTATTGGGGCACTGGAAGGCACATCCCTAGGGAAGAAGCACCAGCATTTTTTAAAAGTGAGAGGAGAGCTGTAGTCCTCCAGTCTGCCCCCTGTAAAGCACATGTCATGTTATACTGACTGCTTTGTGCTTTGCTTGGAGCCCACCCTTTCCAAAAAGCCTGGCTTTGAAGTTTCCCATGAAAGAGACCAGTGTTAAGTTATTCCAAAGGTTATTTATCTTCACCACTAGCATCTTTTATCATATTTCCTGCCTGAATTATTTTCCTACATAAGCTTCTGCCTGCAGAAAGTCATTGTGCTTTCCTTTCCTGAGCTGTGGCAGACTCTGCCATCACAGACCTTCTCCATGTGAAGGCAGTTCTTGCCCAAAACCTCCTTCAGCAAACCCAATAGACAGTGTTTCCTTTTCAAAGCACCTTTCTTGCCCAAGATCAGGTCATTCTAGCAGCTTCTCTACTCATTTTTTCTACCCCCTCCTCATCTCTTCTTGAGCCTGATCTGCTGCTCAGAGCCAACAAGTGCAGATGCAAAATGACCCATTTCGCTGACAGCATCATGGTGCATTGATCAGCGGTGTGACATGTCCACTCCTTTGGGTCCCCATTCCCACACCTCCTCCTCACTTGCAGGGCAGATTTCATACCACCTCAGCACAGCCACATGGGAGCCAGAGTTGCCTGAGCAGGGAGGAGAACCGCAAACCTCCCAGGAAAATACATGGAGGTACTCCCTCCTCTCATATTCTCTGGTGTCTAGTGCTGATAGTCAAGAACACCAGAGAATCTTTT